CATTTCAATCACATCTATATATTCCATGCTCTTTCCTGGCATCTGAGCTGCTGAGGCCACAATACCCTCAGCAAACTCCTAGCAGTTGTTTGAGTGTGGTGATCCCTTTCCAAGACTGCAGAAACTGACCATGGCTCCACAAAGCAAGAATCCCACTGCGCCGCCACAAACCAATGAGATGTACTATACATCAGGCTCTTTATGATCAGATACAAGTCAGTCTGTACGTTTGACTTGATCTACGGTATCTTACACAACAAAGGGCGCTTGGCATCTTTCAGTGGATGAGCGTAGAGAAGAAATACTAAGCCCCTATTGCAAATGGCATGTCCTGATCCCTCTTGATCTCTGGAGTGCCAGACAGAACTAATTGGCACAGATCCCACAGACACTGTTTCCATTCAAATGGAAAATGTATCTAATAAATAGCAACTTCTCCTTCACACAAACAGTCCTTTATTTTCCCATGTTTTATTTTAAGAAGATATGCCCAGTTGTTAGGATTTTTATGAAAACGGTGCAACGTTGTTTGGCGAAATAATTTGTTTATGGAGGCTGGAATAGTTCACAAAGGGTGAAATTCTCCCCCCCTGCAGAGTGATGACATGAGGCCTGTCCACCACTGAATGCCATTTAAGTCACATTTTGAAGATTCAGGTGTCACTTAAGTGGTACGTATGCCTTTTGCTGGCCTTCTGCACAGGGAACTTCACCAATATATTGTATCTTCACTGTTTAGTCCAGATCATGCAGCCATTAGGCCTTATTGTAAGAGGTGGAATGATGGACAATTGAGGCAGCAGGTGCTCAGCACTTCTCAGGATTGGGGCTATAGTGTGATAATGCTGTGCTGTTTAGTGGTTAGAGCAGGTGCTAGGGAATAAAGGTTTGTGGGTTCTGGTCCTGGTGGTTCCATGGCATCACTGAGTGACTGCACACAAAATTACCTCCCCGTCCTGTGCCTTAGTTAAGTTACCTGTAAAATGAATATAACAATACGTAGCCCACAGGTGTTGGGAAACTCTTCTGGTTAATGTTTGTAAACTCCTTTCAGATCTTCAAATGAAGAGTCTGTAGGAGAACAATGTATTGTAACCTGGATTTGTAACAATGTAACCTGGATTTGTGCTGGAAATGGCCCACCTGTTGATCACTTTAGATAAGCTATTACCAGCAGGACAGTGGGGTGGGAGGAGGTATTGTTTCATATTCTCTGTGTGTATATAAAGTCTGCTGCAGTTTCCACGGTAAACATCTGATGAAGTGAGCTGTAGCTCACGAAAGCTCATGCTCAAATAAATTGGTTAGTCTCTAAGGTGCCACAAGTACTCCTTTTCTTTTTGCGAATACAGACTAACACGGCTGTTCCTCTGAAACCAATGTATTATAGTTTGTTTAAATTTTATACCTTAAAATTAAAGAAAACTCCCATGTTTGTGAATTTATCAATCAAAGCTTAATTCCACTCAGGAGAGATTAGCCTCAATACCCAAAAAACCTGTTCCATACCCACATCAATAAAAGGGCACCTTTGTTCATTAAGGTTTTGTGTTTGACAAAGAATAACACAGGCATACTAAACCTCATGCAGATGAACTAATGTGCTTATGGAGCTATATCAGGACAGAGTAAAAATAACTCTTTGCAGAAATAGTCCAAGCAATAAGACCACCTACTGGATCACATCTGCTCTGTGCTGAAATAACATGCATCAGTCAGAAACAGAAGATAAGAAAAATGCTGCAGACAAGATGAGAAGCTTTCATACCTATCACAATCCATTTTCATCTGAGCTTTTCCTTCTTGATAAAACAGGACATCTGTGAGCTGGACCTAGGGGTGACAGTGGACGAGAAGCTGGATATGAGTCAGCAGTGTGCCCTTGTTGCCAAGAAGGCCAATGGCATTTTGGGATGTATAAGTAGGGGCATAGCGAGCAGATCGAGGGACGTGATCGTTCCCCTCTATTCGACATTGGTGAGGCCTCATCTGGAGTACTGTGTCCAGTTTTGGGCCCCACACTTCAAGAAGGATGTGGATAAATTGGAGAGAGTCCAGCGAAGGGCAACAAAAATGATTAGGGGTCTGGAACACATGAGTTATAAAGAGAGGCTGAGGGAGCTGGGATTGTTTAGTCTGCAGAAGAGAAGAATGAGGGGGGATTTGATAGCTGCTTTCAACTACCTGAAAGGGGGTTCCAAAGAGGATGGCTCTAGACTGTTCTCAATGGTAGCAGATGACAGAACGAGGAGTAATGGTCTCAAGTTGCAGTGGGGGAGGTTTAAATTGGATATTAGGAAAAACTTTTTCACTAAGAGGGTGGTGAAACACTGGAATGCGTTACCTAGGGAGGTGGTAGAATCTCCTTCCTCAGAGGTTTTTAAGGTCAGGCTTGACAAAGCCCTGGCTGGGATGATTTAACTGGGAATTGGTCCTGCTTTGAGCAGGGGGTTGGACTAGATGACCTTCCGGGGTCCCTTCCAACCCTGATATTCTATGATTCTATGATTCTATGATACCCAAACCATTTTGTTTCATTGGGGTAAATCAAATTACCTGTTTCAGAGTAGCAGCCATGTTAGTCTGTATTCGCAAAAAGAAAAGGAGTACTAGTGGCACCTTAGAGACTAACCAATTTATTTGAGCATAAGCTTTCGTGAGCTACATCCGATGAAGTGAGCTGTAGCTCACGAAAGCTTATGCTCAAATAAATTGGTTAGTCTCTAAGGTGCCACAAGTACTCCTTTTCTTTTTGCTAATTATCTGTAAGCATCAAATAAGATATTGTTAGAGGGCCATGTTCTGAGGCTCTTAATTATTTTTTAGCTACTGAAGTAATTTTTAGCCATTGTACAGGAGTTGTGACTGAATAAAGGCTGAGCAAAATATGAGTAAGGACTTCAGGGTTTGGCCCATTGGTTATAACATCATCATTTACCCATTGATACACGGAATCAGTACTATTACTGAATGTGACCATGACTAACACTGAATAGCTTCTTTCATCCAAAGATCTTTTAAGCGTTCGACAAACACTAGGCCTCCTCCTGCATTAGGGTTATCAACTATGATATGCAAAAAACCCGGCACTCACCCCTTACCCAAGGAGGCAAGCCTGCCCCAACCACAAGGCAACTCTGCAATTCACCCTTCCCCGCTTCAACAGCCTCTTATTATAGTATCTAGAGAGATAACACAGATAAGATTGAATAAAATTTTCTTATTTAAACTACGGAAATGGGAACATTGCTGCATCTTTAGCTGGACGCAGACACTCAACATTTGATGTCCCAGTGTATTTAATGCAAATCTTTAGACCCACATTAAAAGAAAACCCTGGCAAATTAAATAATTTTTCTGGCCACTGGCAAATCCATAAAAAAACAAACCAGCCAGGCTGGTCAAATGCCGGCCAGGTGGTAACCCTATCCTGCATACTTTGTGCATCCAAACTCCTGTTGACTTCACCCCAATGAGTGACATCCCTCTTTTATATAGAGGCTAAGTGACTTGTCCAAGGTCAGATAGCAAGTAATTGATAGAGAAAGTACAGACGTTTGAAACCACAACCTGGGCTCTAGACCAGAGGTGGGCAAACGTTTTGGCCTGAGGGCCACATCGGGGAATAGAAATTGAACGGTGGACCATGAAAGCTCACAAAATTGGGAGTGGGGTGCAAGAGGGGGTGAGGGCTCTGGTTAAGGGTGCAGACTCTGGGGTGGGGCTGGGGATGAGAGGTTTGGGGTGCAGAAGGGTGCTCCGGGCTGGGATTGAGGGGTCTGGAGAGTGGGAGGGGATCAGGGCTGGGGCGTGGGGAGAGGCTCAGGGTTGCAGGCTCTGAGCGGTGCTTACTCCCTTCTCCGGCTCCCACGCATAGGTGTGGCCAGGTGGCTCTGCATGCTGCTCCATCTGCAGGCACCACCCCTGCAGCTCCCATTGGAGCACCAGATGGGGCCATTGGAGCATGTTGGAGCTGGAGTGGGGCCATGCCACGGCTTCCGAGAGCCACGTGGTGCAGCCCCTGACCCTGCGACCTGGCTGGAGCACCGGAGCAGGGCCACACTATATGGCGAGACCCCTGACCCAGCGACCCGGCCAGAGCGGGGCTGAGCCGTGTGGTCTGGCCCCTGACCCAGCTCCCCAACAGGAGCTGTAGGCCAGCTTAAAACGGCTTGTGGGCCATAGTTTGCCCACCCCTGCTCTAGACACTACACCTTGCTCCTGAGTCATTAGATCAATAAGAGGTTGTCGTAGGAACATAGGAATTGTCAGACTGGCTCAGACCAATGATCCATCTAGTACATTACCCTGTCTCTCACAGTGGTCAGTGCCAGATGTTTCAGAGGAAAATGTAAGAACCCTGCCATTGGCAGATGTGGGACACACTTTTCCCATATAGGTCTTATGCTGTTCTTCAATAGGTAGAGATTGGCTTCAACCCAGAATAAATTTATGATTAAATATGGTTATAGTTACACTAGCTGGTAACTCATCAGAATGTATGTATGTTGGTGCTTCTCTGTCCTCTTCTATCACTCTCCCTTTCTGTTCACCCCTTCCTCACTTATCCCACTTTCTCCCTAGGACATCCCTAGTTAAATGAATTCACATTCAGACAACCAGTGGTGGTAAAACACAGTAAAATATTTGTAACAAAATACAAAACTGTGCAGTTCAAGGTCCGTCCCCCCCCCTCCCCAATTTCCTTTCAAGGTTAAACATCGGCCCATCTTGGCCAGAAAATGTTGCTTTAGTTACAGAGTTGTGTGTTAAAAGTGGCCTCACTTTCCACAGAAAATAAACCAGTCTTTGAAGAAAAGCAAGCGAGTGTGTGTGTGTGGCTCTCTCCTAAAACACAATGTGAAAAAGTGCAAGTTTATGTGGTTTGAGTTAAAAAAAAAGGCATTTCATTTCAAAGTGAGACCACCGCCGAGTTTTGTATTTTTCAGGGTCTACGTGTGTGGCAAGATGGCAGCAAAGGGGCACAAGAAATTCCACGCAAGAAAAATAAAGAATTTCAGGCCTCTCCTGAAAACAACCCTCGCGCTAAAGGTCGTCTTGATTTTTCCTCTGTCGACGCAAGCAAGGTAGGAGCGTGGCAAGCTCTGAGTGCGCAAGGGTTAAATCTCTGGGTGTGCACCCCTGCAGGTCCATGTACCTTGAAAGGCACCCCATAAAAATCTCTCTCTCTCTCTCTCTCTCTCTTTTAAGGGGAATTGAGTTGACCTGCGTTGCAAGAGGCCGAGGTGAAATAAATAAAGGACAGGAGAGGCTCTGGCCAAGAGTCGCATGCTGGTGGGAGGAGTTTCCATGGCAATGAAGAGGTGACTGTGCCAGCCTAGCTTCCGCCCCTCGCAGAACTAGGGCAAGGTGGGCTCCTGCCTAGGGGCCACCGCCTGGGGGGGGGGGGGGCTTGCCCTGGCTCCCCGCCCGCCTCTGCCGCAGCCCGCCGGCGACAGGGCAAAGCCGCCGCCCGGTGCAGCACCAGCGCCGCTGACAGCTCCTGGGGACGCGGGCGGGGGGGGGGGGGCAGCGCCGCCGGCCAACCGAGCCTGAAACGGGCTCCGCCCCCCGCCCCCCTCCAGGCGCCCCACTCGATCCGCCAGCTCTGATTGGGCGGAGGCGGCCGTCCGTCAGGCGCCCCAGCCGGCGAGGCGGAGGGGGTAGGCTGAGCCGCTTTGCTCCTCCCGAGCAGGAGCCGCGGCGGCAGCAGCTTTGCGGTGGGAAGCGGCTCCTTGGCTGGGGGGGAGAGAAGCAGCAGATGTCAAGGCGGGGCGGGGGCGGGAGGGGAGACGAGATGCACCCAAGGCACGAGGATCTGCAGCCATGCAAGGCTCCAGGGTTTCGCATCACTCGTTTTCTCTCCTGAGCAGTGAGTAACAGAACTGGGGAGGGGGGAGGAGATGATAAATTGCATGAAACATGCACCCTCCCCAAGCAAAAATGCAGTCACTGCGCACTGCACCCCATGCGGCTGAATTAGAGGAGAAAGTTTGGGGGGGAGGTGGGGGGGGTCAGAGACTCTCTCCTTCCCCTCCACCCCATGCAATGAGTTTGGATAAAGGATTCTCCTCCCCAGCCCCTGTTTGTGGCCTGCCTTCCTCTCCCAGGTGAAGTGAGCTTGTCTGGGCACTGACCAAGGCTCCTCTGGTTCCTTTCCCTCCTCCCACCCGCCCCTTCCTGCTTTTCATTTACATTTCTCTGCCATTCCTTCAAGAAGTGGAAGTACAAAATCGCCCTCCCACCCCACCTCGTCAGCATGAAGAGGTGCACATCGGATGAGCTGCAGCAGCCTGAGGAGGACTGTGCTGGGGCTGAAGATGCCCCCAACTTGGCTGCCATGGATGCTAAACCTGGGGATTGCGCTTCTGCCCTGTCAGAGTTGGGCACTGCTGCTAATCCGAATCCTGCTCCCCATCCTGTTCCCCGGAGCAAGCCTCCCGATTTAAAGGTAAGCCTCCCTAGCTGGTATTACAAAGAGACTTGGGTTTTTCCTGTGTGCAGCTGGAACCAGAGTTCCATCCAATGATCCTTATTGGCTTATTATTTACATGGGAACTTGACTTTCTACTTTAATAGCGATGATTGACCTGACATGACGACAGTATTTTCTTTTAGGTCTCCTGGATCATACCTGCAGATGTGTGTCAGTATTTTATGGGTTTATAAGACTGTTCACCAAAACTTTGATTATTTAAAAAAATAAAAGGGGCTCTTGGTATTGGGTTCAGCTTTGTGGAGATTATGTGATCTGCTGAGCAATGGTACTAGATAAAAGTCATCTGGAAGAGTTTGCCACAGGCTGGATAGTGCTTACGAGAGACAGGATGGCACAGTGGGTAGAGCACTGGGCTAGGACTCCTGAGACTGGGATTCTTTTCCTGGCTCTGTCACTAGTGTGCTGGGTGACCCTAGGCACATCACTTTGCTATTTTGTGCCTCTGTTTTCCCATCTGTAAAATGGGGAGATTGAGAGTTCCCTCTTCTGTAAAGCACTTTGCAACCTACAGATAAGTGCTGTATAATAAGAGCTAGGTGTTATTGTTATTAGAGGATAAGTTCTTTAAACCATGGGCTGGCTCTAATATGCAGTTATAGTAGCATAAGTGGGCCTTGGTTTTGATTGTGGGTGCTACAGGTGATGGTAAGGTTATGGTTTATAGGACATGAAGAGTCAAGGGGTAAGAGTCATGAGTTTATAAATTGATGTTTCTCTTTAAAAAAAAGACCAGGTTGAAGAAGAACAGTTATACACCAACTTCTGACCACATTTATACTGGTGTAAATTCAGAGAAACTCCATTGATTTAAATGAGGTTATACAATTGCATTGAAATCAGAATCTGGCTTGGTGCTAAACATGGTCAGAAGCTGTGGCTTAGGTGGGCCTTTCTTGATGAGGAAATGTGGCAGGGCCTGCATTCTGCAGAAGAACTTAGCAGATCACATTAAATAAAATCCACGGCAGCAGGTTCTGCAGAGCTAAACTAGAGAACATATCTTGTCTGCGTTGATTCAAGTGCAGCTGCAGTTAGAACAATGACTAGGTAAAAATGCCCCCTTCTCACTCCCCAGAGCTGCTCCCTGAGGGGTCTTCAGGTCATACTTACAACAATAGGCTTTTACTAGCACTGCAGAGCTGGTACAGCTCTGGGAGAGAGAGCTGGGTTCTGTTTTGTCTTGCACATCACCATTGGAGCTGCTGGCTAATCAGTTCCTATTTGTCACTGGTAGTGATACAAGAGGCAGAAAGGGCACTGGTGGAGGTCCCAGGTGGAGTTTCCAGCACTGACATTTAGCCAAGCCCCCCTTTGATTTGAAACATGAGCAGTACTGAGTGTAGTCATTGAAAAAGAGAGGGGATAAATAGGAAACCTGACTTGCTTTATTTTTGCAGAGGCTAATATTCTGACTGTAACTGCACTTCAAAATCTCCATGCACAGCTGTACATTTCACTGCATCTAAAACGTGTTCTCCTCCCTAGTTAGTTAGCAATGCATTCATTATTATACTACTAACTTATAGTGCTTTTCAAAGGTATGTGGGATTAGCTGCAAATGTGGAAGCTGAGGCACAGAATGCAAGGGCCTCAGTTTGTATAAATCATAGTTTCATTGGCTCCAGCAGACCTACACTGATTTATATCTGCCGATGATCTGGCAGAGAGTTTAAACAGCTTGACCAAGTTCACACAGCGAACCATGAACGGTATGTAGGCGTCATGGCTTCATCCATATGTGCCAATGCTTGCCAGTTACCCAAAGGCAGATGTGAAGTGAACGTGTCCATTAGGTAGTTCAAGAAAGAGCAAGTATAACAACTAACCTTAGAGTTGTGGAGCTCTCGGCTCCAGTTATTGGCTCTTTTCAGTAGCTGTTGTGCTTTAGGAGTTACTGGAATGGCATGCACCTGTCACTGCTGTCCTATAAACAGCAGTGAATGATGTGTAAGACAGATGACCAGAGCCCACAGTGGCATGCTTTTAGAAGCATGTTCACCTGGCATGCAGCCTCACTCACCCAGAGCACTTCTAAAGTAGCTCTTGCTGGCTGATTCCTTTGACAGCCACTTGGTCTTCGGCTTACATGGCAATTGGAGCAGCTCCATGCACACCTGATCCAACTGCTCAGCTGTTCTGATTGTGCCTGCAGTGATATGTTCATGCTGTAGGGCAGAAAAATGAGGGGAGAAGGAAACATAAGAGGCGGGACCAGGGAAACAGAGCAGAGGCAGAAGTGGGCAGGAGGATCCCCTAAGAGAGGAAGGGGGGAAAGCAGGTGAGAGGAAGGGATGGAGAATAGTTCTGGGAGGTAAGAGGATGAGAGAATAGATCCAACAGGGAGACAGTGGGGCAAGCTGCCCCACACTGTCACCTGCTAGTGCATCTCATCCTGAACTGAAGCAGCTACTTATAAGGGCTGAGAGGTGAGATCAGTCTCAATGGCTTTTTTAGCCCTTGGCTCCTGTACAGAGAGACTACCAGCTATGCTAATTATGGTGGTTTTGTGCTGTGGACTGAGACCTACCCTCCAAACAATCTCAGAGGCTACTGATCAGATGGTAACTTTCAGTCACCAGTGGCCTATGCTGGATTTGTGCTAGCAACCTGGAAACAATAGGCTCTTTTCTGTTCTTGCCAGTCTCCTTACTTCTCTGGTCCCCCCCTCACTGCAAGTGCATGGCAGATTTTCTTACACAATTAAGAACCCTGCTGTTTTGGTATGAGCAAGCTTCCCATGACCAAAAAAGTCCTGGCAAGAAGAGCAGATGTGGGACACAACTCTGCTTAAAAATATGTTAGGTGGTAGATATTTCTGAGCTCTGCAGCAGAGAGGCTGAATCTGTACAAAATACTGCCAAAGAAATTGTTCAGATCTTTTACTGTAAGAGACAGTAGACAGAGTGTCCGGGGGGGTGGGATGTATCATAAAGGCATTTTACCCCTTAGATCTCATTCCTGCCTTTCCCCAGGCAGTGAAGATCTGTGTATATTCTCTTTTGTCTGTAATTGGATGAATTTGATGGCCACAGAAACCAGGGGCTGAATGCAGCCATGGTTTTGATCTAAAATCATCACCACGTCAATCTTAATGGTCCCCATGCCTCCATGTGTTTGGCCTTGGAAGTTAAGGCTCCATCCAGAGTTCCACTCCTCTCCTTGGTCCTGATTGCAAGCCCGTGGAAGTCAGTGGAAACCCTCCCATTGACTTCCGTGAGCTCTAGAACAGACCCGCTTTGTGCTGCTCCAGTGTGCGAAGGGAGCAGAAAGCAGCCAGATCCCCTCTGCACATTCCCACTCTGCTACAGGGGAATTCTGCAGAGCCAGCGTAGACAGTTCTGGCACCACACCCCATCCTGGGGCAAGGGGAGCAGCCAGAGTACGCTGAGCTGTGGCAGTCTCTGGCTGGTGGGGAGTCCTTCGGAAGCCATAACCAGCTGGCATAGATTAGAGCAGTCCCTGAGCTGGACATAGCAGATGATCTGGGCTTGAAGTTGACAGTGCCTAGATGGGGATCACAGACTTTAGCACTTACCTCCTCCAGCTTGGTCAGTTTATTGCTATCAGGGCATGGTGCTCTTTACCCAGACTTTCCCTGGTGGGGTGGTTGACTTTGTGGGCAGGATTTCATAGGTAAGGTCTCATTCTCTGTGGGCTGGGCTGCGGTTTAGTGTTGTCACTGTGACATGAGTTTGTAGTAGCATGGTTTAAAGACAGAATTATTCATCTTCCTAGGGCAAAGCCCTTGCTTCTGGTCACCTGGGTGCAACTCCCAATGGAATCAGTGGCAGCTCCCTGGCTGTAATGGAGGAGACAGTTTGGGCCTAGAGTGAGATCAGGATTAGACTCCTTGCAAACAGTCTTACCCAAAGCTCATTGGAGTCAACGGAAAAACTTACAATGGCTTCCGTGGGCACTGGATCAGGTCTGTGGAGCCAAACCCTAAAAGCTAAACTCAGTTGGAACCTAGACTTTCCCCAGGGAAAAACGCTCATTGGGGCCAAACCCTGAACTTTCTACTCAGCTTTTACTCTTGCTCTTTTATTCCTTATTCGTGTGGGTCTGTGTCGTGTGGGTTTGGACCCCACAAAGGAACCTGCCAAGAGTCCCCCTCTTCCAGATTCCCCTCCTAGAGAGCCTTACAAGGCCCCTCATTGCAGTTCCAGCCAGAGACTATCGATGCTCCCAACCTATGGGTTGCCTAGAGGGGGAAGATAAGACACTTTTCCTTCCTCCCCCACAAAAGCCATCACCTCCACATATGTTGGAATTCACTCCTTTGCATCAGCCATTCAAAGGACACCATGAAGGTAAGTTAAGTCCCTGCCCCCAAGTTACCTGAATGTCCCTGCAGTCAAATGGCCTGAACAGAAGTACCTTGGTCACTGGAATGGTCTTATTTATCAGATGCTGCTTAGCACACTTAGGCACAGACCTTTCCAATTCCCTCTGCCTCTTTCTCATGCACATAGAGGGGATTGTGCTGCATGACCCTGGCTAATGTCAACCACTGTTTCAAAAGTGTGAGGGTGTGAGTAGGTTCTCTAACGATTCACACTGCTCAGAGGCAAGAACTCCAGGCAGTTAATTAATAATGATGATGACATTTTCCTTCCACATCATGTTTCAACCAAGGATCTCAAATCACTTTACAAGCGTTAATAATTCATGCTCACATAGCGTGGGGAGGTATGTCTGAATGATGATCATCATCCCCATTTTACAGATAGGGACACTGAGACAGGAAGTGCCTTGCCTAAAGTCACAGCAAGTCAGTGACAGAGCCAGGAAGAGAACCCAGGGTTCCCGACTCGCAGTTCCCTGCTATAACCAACTGACCACACTCTACATCAGTTGTAGTCTTGCTCATTGGGTGTGGGGAGGCATGGAGTAGATTAAAAGGGTGGCACCTAAGTTCATTTCACACATCTAGAGGTTCTGGGTTCAAATGT